TTCTAATTTAGTTGCATTTAACTGAGCTACTGTGAAAGGAACCAAAGTATTTTTTTTAAGTCAGTAGAGTTCAAAAATGTTTTACTAAAATAAAATAAAATAGTTTATATTTTAAATTTGATAAAATCTGATAAAATAATTAATTTTTTATAATATAATCCATGCAAAAACTTCTCCAAACTAAGATATTATTCATATATTGCTATAATAATAAGAAATGAAGGAATCCCTCATTGCACAAGCCATTTCAAGTAGATTGAAACAAGCCCCAGAGAGTACCAGACATACACCTCCAATAAGTGGAGTTTGGATTATTTCAGAGAGCTTCCTTTCATATTCTATGTGAGAACTTGTTGCAAATTTGAAAGCCCAGGTTTTATCATACATGTACTGCAAAATACAAGAAGAAAACAGTAAAGTATGCATAAAGCAGTTAGAATTCTTGCAGAAGCTGCATGATGCACAAAAAAGTAACTAATTGTCGAGTTTGCAAATTGTGCTGTTAGAAAATGTGTAAAGATTATCTGGGATATAATTCCCATTTCTTGCTTTAAACATTACATTTTACTGTTCCTTTCCAGTCCAATAATATTCTAATTTATTCTGGTTTGTAGGGAGATTTTTTCTGCTAAGAATTTCCATCTTAACAAAATATTTTCTAAGTTCTCAAAAATGACAAACTAGTTTTCTCTTTCTTATTTTACAAAAGATGACCATAAAATCATCTAATGATGTAATCAATTCAGTGTCTCTCCCTCATTCCAAAATTTCACACCTCACTGGAGTTATACTATATGAAAGATATCTCTTATGAAAGTCAGTCAGAACTCACTGATTTGGCCCTTTGGATAGCAATCTGGGTGTATATTATAAACACGAGAGCAAGGAGTAAAACCAAGACAAATTAAACTAAATATTTCCTTACACATTTCTCACCTAACAAAATCATGGTTTATTCTTATTGAAATAAATAGCACATAGCTATTAAAGTATCGATCTCATTTGTCTTCACAGAATTCACACAATAACTAGGTAGGAAGAGATGGAGATCATTGAGTCCAACCCATGCCCTAACACCTCAACTAAGCCATGGCACTCAGTGCCACATCCAGTCTTTTCTTAAACACATCCAGGGATGGTGACTCCATCCCCTCCCAGGGCAGACCATTCCAGAACTTTATCACTCTTTCTGTGAAAAACTTCTTCCTAATATCCAACCTACATTTCCCTTGACACAGCTTGAGACTGCCTTAATAGAGTTAATACTGAAAAATCTACCCTAGAATCAATCAAACCAATATTCATATTTTTCAAAGCATGATTTTGCCATTTGTGTAAAACATACACTGTAAATCCGTGACTTTTTTTTATTCTTCAAGTTTTCCATTGTTTAGTGTAAGCCTTACAATCAACTCGTGATTAAATGTAGTAAACAAATTAAAAAAAAAATTTTCTCATTTCTAATAATACACTGCATGTCTGGACCTGACCTATTAGCTGTTATGCTGATTACTGCTGCATCTATGCTCTTAAGTGGGGAGCAGTCGATGAAGTTATTCCCAACCCAAATTTCTTCTGCCCTGCTGTACTCTTCCATCCACAAAGTAGACACAGCCATAGTATTCTCACAGGGCACCATCGTAAGTGAGGTTGCAGGGCCAACAGGAATTGCAGATTTACCTGGTAGCTTTCCCAGAATTTCCCCAAGCCCATCCCCTAGTGTTCAACCTCTGCTATATGTTAATAGTGGTGGCTCCATATGTTAGTTGTTTATAATACTAATATATAATATCATCTCTGTAATAAATTGTCCACTATCACCTTTGGATTAACTGCAGATCAAATTTTAGAAATGAGATTTTTCTTGGCAACACCTGCACAAATGAGAAAAAGGTAAATTAAATTGTTCTGCTAAGAAAAACATAAACCCAGGCACTAAAGCCTAACTGTTTTATTATATCTAGACAAGGATAAATTATTTCTTCATTTATTTCTTTTGGTTTGAAATTGCAAGGTAGCTCCTAATATTCCTTAGACCTTCACCTCCTGGACTTAAAAAAAAAAAAAAGTGAGAATTTCAAAAATTATGTATTTAGGTCATGTAAAAATGTGGTATAACCCTTAGAGAGGGGTGAGAAAGTTGAAGAGATTTTTCCATGCCTCTCATTGTAAAGACTACACTAATGGCCATACCTGACATATAAAAACTTGTAACAGCTGCTATGAAACATTTTCATAAGACTATGAAGCTGGTATAACAAAGTACAATATTACTTTACTTGTCTTTTCTCTAATTCTGTGATCGACCTGTGTCAGTGGGGACAGGGAACCTTGAAACAATTAAATATAATTTTTAATGTGTTAGAATATTTTAGCAAAAATACAATTAATCTATTATTTTTCATACATTTCGCCCTTTTGGAAGGAAAATAAAATGTCCATCTTCTATGATGAATTGAATGGAACTGACGTGGTTTGCTTTTACACGTGGTATTTCTGCATATGGCAAGATTTGCAAGACTTGATGAAAATTCCAGAAAGAAAATGATTTGCAATTTCTGTTTGTACAGGTCAGCAGATAAATATCTTCAAATTCCATCAAATGAACTGAAGAATAATTCATCATTTCTCACGAGCCCACTAGAAAGCAACAGATCATAATCAAGAACACAGGTTTTTTTTGCACAATTGCTTTACATCACACTCAGTGTTGTCACCTGCAAGAGAAATGTCATTAGAACTTTCTGTCAGTTATGCTCTGTCATAAAGGAGACAGAGGCTTCTTTCTTAACATTGTTGTCTCTGGAGCAGTAACAGCAGGTACTGGCATGTGATTTGAGCATCAAAACAAGAAAGCAGGGCACTCCACTTTATTACAGAGCTCAGTTCATAATTTAAACTGTGATCTTTTCTAACTCTGGTATTTAATTCACCTGCAAAAGTACTGAGTATTTTGTAGAAGTAGGAAGGAATCAGAAATAATATCTGTGGTTCCAAGAAGGATAGGGAACATAATGGGAAAATCATAATTAATATGACTGACATGTAACAGATATATACTTACCCAACCCAACACACCCCAATGCTTTTCCTTTATGCTTATTATGAACAAGCAGGAATATCTGGTTTTTTGATTAGCCAATAAAACTGGATTAACACTCAGTAAGAATGAATATATTGCTTAAAATAGTATTTTGTATTGCTGCAAAAAGGATCAAAGATTGTCACTGATCCAGCATTGTATTTGACAATAACTATACCTGTTTTCTTACAGGTCTCATACTCACCTACTTTAGGGGTTAGTAAAATACTATGTGTTTATAAAACCATGTCGACCATAACTGCTTTCACAAATACTGGTTAGAGTAGCCATAATTTGTTAACATAAACCCATTAATTACAGATTTAAATAGGCCAGATTTAGGTTTCCTGAATGCAATTTTTTTCAATTTTCAGATTAGTATTGCACAGACTGTTCCTAGCAAAGTGGACAAAGAACACATAGAAATGTGTAACTGTAGTAGTTTTGTACAGAATCTATCACAATGCTTAAAAGAAATCATCAATTAAATACTCGATTGCACTCGGAAGAAATAGGCAAACTTAAGAATCACAGCTGCAGTATTTTACATTCAGGTCCATATTTGCCCTCTATTAAAATTCCCTTTGAGTAGATATTATTTTTCATGTAGCACATCAAAGGATAATACCTTGCCAAATGCTTCTTAGAGATTGTTATAGAACTTCGGGTTTCATTCGGTATTATACTTATCAGACTCCTTGCAGGGTGTGATTCATTGTCACCTATCTCCACTGTGTCCTCTTTAAATCAGTACTACAACATTCACTTGCAACCTTAAGAATTTGCATCCAACAGCAGATGTTTACCTCCTCAACCTATCAGAATTCCATCTTAAACTTACAGAATAGAAATATATTTTTCAGTAGGGTCTTCATCCTGCATGCTGTTCCATACTAGAAAGATCCAAACAGATTTTGCTAAGAATTTTATTAACCTGGCACAAGGCCCTATAAACCCTCAGTAAGGGTGGTTAAGAAAGAAAACAGGTGAAAAGACATTCAGAAATCATATATAAAATTCCTTTTTTTCCTAATTTGCTTCTGTTCAGCTGCTAATGCATAAAGTTTAATTTGGCAGAACTTCTGCTTGGAAAAACACAATGTCTTGAAGTGGGTTTTCTTGTGGAAAACCTTCCTTTTAGCTTTCAGCAAGGACAGTATACACCAGTCCTATACCAATAAGCTAAATCCAGAGAACATATATAAACAGAAAGGCAAAGGGTGTGCATTTCCCACCGGTACATGAGTCTGAGTTTAATTTAATGGAAACTGGGTACTCTACAGGGAGTCTAATTGTCATGTAAATTACAGTAACTTAAAATATCCTCTGATTTGTCTGACTTTGTTCTTTCTCTTCTTTAAACCCAAATCCTCAGATTTCTTCCTTTGATTTACTCCATGAACAGCATGTTGATTTGATTTTGCACATAGGGATACAGCTCTTATTACAGGTATTATAATGGCTAAGCTTCTTTCATATTTGTGCCTAGAAGTCCCAGAACAACTGAACTGGAAACCACTAGCTTTTATATAAAGATGAATTTTCTTATTGACAGTTATAAATAATAAAAAAACAGAAAAAAGTTTTCAGTTTTGTCTAATAAATTCAGAGACAACTGAAGTTCCTTGCAAAACTTTTCTGGCATTGTGAAAAGCATCTTATGATATAATAGAAATAATTGCAAACACCATTAGAAGGAATTATCTCAGTCTTGCATTAGAAATCAAACACCCTTGTGTGCAAGTATGTTGTTTCCATAAAGTAAAATGAAAATTGTGATATCCTTCAGTAATGATCCAAAATGGTTTAATTATTCACTTTAAGGTGATTGTGTTTTGGACCATCAGAGCAGATTATCATAAGGATTTTAACAAACTTTTGATGTTTAATGCCCCACTAAGAATGAGCTATATCCAAGTACAGAAAAAAACCAATATTTTATTTATAATCTTAGTTTAGTGTTTGAACTACAAATTCTGGTTCTAGAATTGCTTAAAAGATCATGGGTTTTATAGGCTTTCACAAGTAAATTAATTTTTGGTTTGATTTTTTTTTTTTACTTTTTTTTCCATTTTTTTCACAGAATGGTGTTTTCGGTAAATACAGAGCAAATCATTACATGGAGAAAAAAAGGGTTTACTTGTTTTTCTCACTTGCAAAGTTACTGCTATTACTCCATTCTCTGTTGAATAATTTCAAAAAGGGCATGAGAAAACAAAAGAAAAAAGAGAAAGTGACAAAATAGACCGAATCTCACCACTAGAATTCACCATAAAAATTCCCAAAGTGTAACAGAATTCTTACAAAATTTCCTAGATCAGTTCTTTTAGGGAATCAAGATCTCCTATGAAAAATATGGCAAATGGGAGTCAGGGTAGGTTGGGCAGGAAAACGGGAACGAGGAGGGTAAATAATTGCAGCAAAAACAGGTTCTGAGGAATACACATAATTTTGTCTGCTTTAGATCACAATAGAATTTTTAATAAATAAATTTCTTTTTCTTTGTAAAGACACTTTTGAAACAGTAGATTTAGCCCAGTCATTTGTGTCATTTGTTTTATAAACCATCTTTTGTTGTCCCCCCACCCCACCCCTTAATGTCATAAATGTCTTAGATTTGAGTCTCTTGAACATTGTCTTTCGAGTTCATTCGGATCAATAACGGTTCATGCACTGAACTGTGTATTGAATTTATTGTGTTAACTGTTGTTGTGTGGTTGAAAGGAGATTTATAAGAGTTATAGTGATTTAAGTGCTCATGCTCTATTGCTGGCATGGGCAAATGACTCTCTATGGGTGTGTCACCTGTAAGCTCATCATCCACATTAATGATCTCTACAGTCCGTGTTGGAGCATGGTGGTTCTGCCGGTGATGCTGTTTCCTCATTTTGTAGAAAATTACCAGCATCACAGCAGCCATGAGAGTGATAGCCACAAAACAACCAATTATGATTTTGGTAGTCTTCATAACCTCATCTATTCCTGGGATCCCGTTGTTTGCGTCCGTCACAGGAATGGTGAACGTTTTTTCTGTTGATCTTGTGCTCTGTGGAGTGAGTGAGGTTGTCATGTTAATGGTTTCCCAGTTGGTAACTGGTGTGGGCCCAACCTGCTCTGTGGTCTGTGCCTCATCCTGAGAAGGTTCCACAGTCTCTACCGTGACGGTTGAAAAGTACGTGTAACCAGGGTTATCCAGGGCAGTCACATTCAGCGTGGCAGAAGCCGTGGTATTCCCAACAGAGTTACTCACCATGCATGTGTACAAACCTGTGTCTTGCACAGTTACCTTGGTAAAATTTAATGTGCCATCACTGAGCACAGCAATCCGAACTCTGTATGCCCCATGCGTCATGACAGATCCATTTGGAGTAATCCAAGATACGGAGGTCAGGGAGGTCGATGCCCGGCATTTCATCTCTGCAGCCATGCCTTCTGTGACGTTGAGGTCTGCTGGTGGCTCCACTATGACTGGAGCATAACATGTGAAGTAATTCAGGTCCAGCTCACCAATGTACCTTCCTTTTAAACTGGGGGGAGTGTGGCAACGGGCACAGCATGCAGTGTTGGAGGGTGCCTTGTCTTTAATCCACCAGCTGAGCCAAAGGATATCACAGTTGCAGTTCCAAGGATTGTGATGCAAGTGGATCCTTTCTAGGCGGAGTGGTGTGAACAGGTCATGAGGCAGTAGTGTTAGATTGTTGTGTGCCAGGTTGATCTCTACAAGTGACTGAAGGTTATCAAAAGCATTCCTTTCTATCACTTGAATCTGGGACTGTATCATCCACAATTTCTGAAGATGCATTAACCCTTGGAAAGAACCTGGCCGGATGGCAGTCAGGTGATTCCCAGAAAGATCTAACTCATCCAGTTTTACAAGCGGAGTAAGGTTAGGAATCTCTCGAAGATTGCACATGGCAAGGTTCAAATACCTCAAGTTGGACAGACCTTCAAAGGCACCTTCTGAGATGTATGAAAGCCTTTTCAATTCCCCCAAATCCAACCTCCGGAGAGAAGGGATTCTGTTAAAAGCATAAGAAGGGATGCTCTCAATGGGGTTGTTTCTCAACCACAGTTCCTTCAGTTTTGATAGGTATACAAAAGCCCCATTTGGGATAGTGGTCAGACGATTGTCAAAGAGTTCCAAAGTGTTGAGATTGGCCAGACCATTGAAAGCCCCTATTTCAATTGTTCTGATGTGATTCCTGCTGAGCTGCAGGATTTCTAGGTGCCTCAGATGCTTGAAGCTATTAACTTTAATGATTTGAATCTGGTTCTCATGGAGATTGAGTAGCCGGGTGTTGGTGGAGATGCCGTCTGGCACGTCTCTAAGATTTTTCCGTACACAAATCACTTTACTGAACTGGTTGCTGCAGGAGCAGACAGAAGGGCAAGTTTGAGCCCTCACTAGACCAGCTACCACAAGAAGCTGAAGAGCCAACAGCACCACAAGCAGGGGGTCAAATAGGGCCCTGTTAAACCTAGGACCTATCATTATCTGCTGTGGATGTAAGGTCATCTTGTTCAACATTCATAATTTATTTGGTGTTGGTCCTTCTGGAGTTTGAATCGTCTGAAAGAAAGGAAGAAAGGAGAAGGAGAACATTAAATTAATCTCAAATAAATGTGTTCTCTTAACAAAGGCTTCTCAAGTCCTTTCAGTCAACTCTACCAATTTCTTGAAATTCAATAGTGAGAACAGGTATAGAATTTCTAATATTTTTCTTCTGTAGAGATATGTATATCAGCTACATCTGGCAATGAGATAAGAAATAGCCATACAGAAGTTCTCATGCACATTCCAATGTACAATGTACGTAGGTGGATGGCAGATAAGAAGTTCAGTCACAATGAATGCCTAAGAGAAATGTAAATCAGGGGAGAGTTGAAAGAAAGGACCAGCATCTCAAAAAGCAAAAGTTAGTAACACAGGAATCTACTAAGATAGGAATTATCAGAGTATTCAAGGTGTTAACTTTTTTTACATGTTACAAGACAAGACAACAGATAATATGAAAAGCAAATGGACACTCCTGGCTGGTATGGGTAAAAATCTTTATCTATGCACAAATGATTCTTGAATCAAAGTTTAACTAGAAGTAAGTCTCTAAAACTGAGTGTCATGCAGATGACAGGGCAAGGTCTTGCATATAAGAATTAAAAAAAAAAATTAAAATAAAGAAGCATACTGAGCATTATCCAATTTAATGGATATGTCCTCTTCAATTCTTTTGTTTGGCACCAGCAGCAGAGAAACACTCATTAGCAAATGTATACCGAACACAGAAATGAGAACAGGTATTTATTTAAATGCTGAAAAATATCCATGTAGCTGCAGGACTGGCAGTTTCATTGACACCTTGAAAAAACTCCCAAAAAATTCTTACTGCAAATGGAAAAAAGACCTTCAAACTACAAATGATCATTACCATTTTAAGAACTTCAGTACTGATTCATGTGTGGCAGTTTTTATAGTCCCCAGCCTTTGGTTCATTTTCAATCTGCTGCTCAGTTCAAGATTCCTCTGTTGCCGAGATTAATGAAATTTCTTATAAATCAGCCAAAAGTGAAGTCTTATAAATTACAGCAAGCTTAAACATATTTATAACCCAGAGCACCCAGATGGATAGTACATATATATTCAGGAAAACAAAATACCTTAAGGCAGCAGTTTTCCACTCCAGGCTCCAAATTAATTCATTTTTGTAAAAAATAGAGACCTTTCTTAAAAAAAAAAAAAAAAAAAAAAAATCAAAAACAAACCTTCTCCCAAAAAAAAAAAAAAAACACCACAAAAGCCCCACCAAACCAGGAAAATATATTAACTTTCATGCCACATCAATTCATTTAATGAAACACTTTTTTTTTCTAATTATATATTCAGACAATGTGTTTTTGAGAACTCATTTCTGCATTTTTAAAAAGCCTGTTATAAGGGTTCAGAGGTAGTGAGTGTTCTCATCTCATTTTTAATAATTTACTGCAGAGAAAGCCAATATAATGGTTAAAAAACTGTGAAGGGAACTGGAAAGTCTGGGCTGTATCTGTATGTTTGATCTCTCTATATGTGCTATTTATAAAACATCATTCTTGTTATGAAAGATTCATGAAACTAATGTGTTTTGCAACCTTGAGCAAGTCATTTAACTTCTCTCTCTGCAGCTTACACTTCTGTCCCATGGCTCTGGAGAACCCTGTGGCTGTAGTGTTAGATGTTACTGCTCCCATCTCTCCATCCCTTCCCTCTGCCAACACCTGTACTCCTGAACATCAGCTTCATGGGTTTAGGATAATGTACTAGACTGGATGAGGGGTCACTGCTCTACACACCTTCCTTTTCACTGCAGGCTCACAAGGTCGTTTATCTCTTCAGAGGTGCTGAACAGGATGTATGGAGAAACACTCTGACCACTAAAATTCAAGTTCGCTTGGCAAAAGTCCAACTGCAACTACATTCAAAAAGCAGGTGAAAAGGCCATAGTTCCCATCTTTCTTACACAGTTATGAAGAAAAACCCATCATTTTTTTTTCAGGTCAAAAGAATTTGTATTAGAGCCTAAAATAAATTTTAGAGTTCTTAGCTAAGACCTATGATCCATGAATTTTGCTGCTGAATAGTAATTAGCCATCATATGTGATAGTTAATGCAATTGTATTCACATTTTTGTCGCCCTTTTTTAATTTTTAAATTTTTTTTGTGCAGTAATTTGTTTTTCCTTTCTCATTTTCAAAATTCTTCTAAAACTTATACCCTAAGGACTTGGACTGAGTAATGAATTCCATTAACAAGTAATAAAATAGACACAGAAACACAACAAACTAATTATTTTACCATTGTACTGGTGCAATATTTTTGTCTTCACTGAAACTGGGGTGAGAACTCTGCCTGCTATGTCTGCCTTCAGAGCTGCCAGTTATCCTTGTGTACAAGGCTGGTGAGGCACAGGCAGCACATGGGGCTTACAGAGGCACAGGAATCTTAGACCAATTCAGTACTAAAGGCCTGCTTTGTAGGATTCATAGAGTTTCTCTATCTCTCTTATTGTGACTGTCTGGTCTCATTCATGTACCCTGGATTCCCCAAAGGACCAGGAAAACTACAACATTTCTAGAACAAAAAAGCACAGAGAAATAAGAAAGGCCATGGGAGGGCAAGCACCCTAAGTATCAGGCTGTGTATGCACCAAGTCCCTTCAGCTGCTCTTTTCTAGCCTCCATGGAGCTGATGATCCCAAGCCATGCTGCAAGTACTCCAAGGCACTTTCCTCTTGTTCCAGTTAGTTGAACCTGAGGGTATCTCCCAGCATTTCCTTTACCTAGTTCATCACCCAGAAAATCTTTCCTTTTTATTACTACACATGCGCTCCATGGGGAAAAAAAAATCATATTACTTGAGTACATCATTACAACAAATAAGTTACGAGACTGATCGGTAAATGCTGTCAAACCCAAAGCAAAATGTTTCCATGTCTCAGTTGCAAAAAGATTTTTGAAAGAAATGCTTTTATCTTCTTAAGATAAATTCCCTATATCCTTCCTATTTTTGGTTATTGACTGAAACAATGAATCATTCACATAGAACAGCTTTTTCCTTGAACTGAAGGCCAAAATTGCCTGTGGCTTTCACATTTACTGTTCTCCCTAGTCCTGTGGTAGGGATGTCTCAATCAAACATATGCCTCAGAACAACCATCTATCAAGGACCTCCAGGGAAATCTGATACCGTCAGGTTTCTGTAAAATTCAAATCTGTGCACACTTCAAACACAAGTTTGGTTGCTGACTAATTGACAGCTTCTCTAAGTCTATAATTTTGAAGACAGTATCACCGTTTTGTGATATGTGAGTACGAAGTTCTAGATATGTTTTCACATGTATTGGTATGTTTTATCTTTTTGTGCCTAAGCTGTATCTTGCTTAATATATAAGTACAGAATATCTATATTGCCATCCCTCTGCACCATTTTCTAGGAGGCAGTGAGAGCAAATCTTAGCTTTTGCAGCCACCATTTGATTTAACTTCGGACTAACTTATATTAGTTGACTTTTTCCCCTGTTCTTTGGTAATGCAGGAAGCAAAATTTTCAGGAGAAGACCATATTAAGTGGACTTGGTGCTGCTAAAGTACAGGGGAGATGATGACCCAAGAAGTGACTATGACCAGCAGAAAATGTACCGGACATTACACGGCTAGTCCGCACCTCAAGCTACTGAGGTTAGCATGAGGCTGAAATACAGCAGTACAATTCCCGGTGGCTGGAAGAATGAGTAAAAAGATCCTTTCTTTTATACTGGTTGCTTTCCAGAGCTCAGAGCTTAAATATTCAGGAAGTCTTGGTGCAGGTATTTCATATCAGGGCAATTTTAAATCATAAATATCTCGGAAATACCCTGGAAAAAAAATTAGCCAGCACAAAATCACAGTGGAAAATTAATTTAAAGCCTTGAAGGGTGTTATAGAAATATTTTAATGGGCTTTACATAAAGATCCATCTGGAGCTCTGTACTAGAGTAATTTGCTATTCAATTCCTATTTCTGCTAGAGACACCTGAAGGTTTAGCTTTACAAGCCCACACATGGAATACAGACCATCAACCAGCTTCTTTAGTCTTTGTTGACACCTCTTTGTCTTCTAAGTTTTTTTTTTTCATTTTTCTAGTACCAAAATAGCAACTCTACAGTCAATTCAATATCACTAGTGCCCTCTGCTGTATAGACTAAAAATTTAGTTTAAAATGTAATGAATTTCCTTACTGCACAGTCGGTCCCCCAGACACATACAATTACCAAATGTGTTTCCAAACATGGCCTTAAGACTGTCTGTGGCACTGCTCTAATTACCACAGCATATATAATCTGTTTTTTAGCACAGTAATGTATATTCTCTTTACGGCCATGGAGACTTTCCCAGACGTATATGGAGAGCTGTTCGTTTGGTTTTCCATTTGCGCAGAAATAATAAAAATATTTTTTGGAACTTGATTTTTGATACGCATGTTCTCCTCTCTATAGCTTATCTGACTCTCTGTTACTCTCGGTGTCCTACACATTTTCCTCTGAGCTAAAAGCAGTGCCCTCTTAAGATCCAGTGCAGAAGATGAAGCACAGAATGACAGAGCTAATCTACCTCTGCAGCTATGCACAGTACAACTTTCCTTAGGGACAGCCTGAAGGATACCATAGTTACCCAACTGAATGTAACTTTGCCAAATGTGTATGCAGAGGTGCCTTCTACCTCCTTTTTTTTTACCCTTTTTTTGTAATTAGGTCTTGGGTCTGATCTGCTTTGTTCTCCCTTTGCTACACTACCAGGAGAAAGTGACTGTGCTCCCACTGATTGCTGAAGGATTTTCCTGTAATGGGGGTCTTTGATAACAAAAGAGAACTTCCACGCCATTTCCAAAGATCTGCCTAATGAGGTATGGCAGGTGGCAAAGATATTTCCCCAAGCTCCAGTGACCCTTAGCTGGATCACTGGCAGTTTAGTTGCTGTTGGCAACTCATGCATTGCTTACTGTCTTGTCTGGGTCTATGAATAACTGTCTCAGCAGCAGTGCTGTGCAGTGCAAAGGC